TTGTATTATTACCTGACCAAGTATTTGACTGGCAAAGTATATGGAAGTAGACTTTTTAAAAAACATCTTTTTTTTCATTTTCCCTTATCAAAAACACACCAAAAGACATAAGCAGCACCTTCTGTTTTATGTTGACAAAACAATAACAGTAATTCTGAGATACTTTCCTCAACCCTTTCTTTTGTCTATCTATCTACATGTGTTTATCCATCTGTCTATATACTGTATATACACATTAGAATGTGCTTAATTGAATATTTGTCTCTTTATCGGCTTTATGTAAATGTGAAACAAAGTGGCCTTGAAATGTCTTTCCTCCACATATTCTATTATGATTATTGACCGTTCTGTGGGAAGACACAAACATGCTGAAGACTGTCACTAAACCTTTCAGGAATCGTTGACTGAACCTGCAGCGCATTTGACGCTCTGTATTGATTTAGCGTTTATGAAAATGAATTGGAGATCAATTGTGGACCTTTTAAAAATGACAAAATCATCCAAAAAGTGGCATTGGAACTTATTCAGGAAAGCTAGAAAGAATAAAAGGAAAAATAATCATATGGGTTCTTTCTCCCCTGCTCTTCTCCCTGTACACCAACCACTGCACCTTCAGCCAAAACTCCATGAAGCTCATCAAGTTTGCAGGTGACACCACCCTCATTGGATTCTTCTCTGACAACGATGAGTCCGTGTACAGGAGGGAAGTGGACCGGCTGGTGTCCTGAGGCAGTGGTAACAATCTGGAGCTAAACGCCCAGAAGACAGTGGCGATGATTGTGGACTTCAGGAAGAGCACAGCCCCCCCGCCCCCACCCTCCCTGATGGACTCCGCCATCATCTCTGTGGAGTCCTCTTATGGGCACCACTATCACCCAGGACCTCAAGTGGAAGCCGACCATCAGCTCCCTCATTAAGAAGGCCCGGCAGAGGATGTACTTCCTGCGACGGCTCAGGAAAGTTTAGTTGCGTTCACAGATGTTGGTGCAGTTCTACACGGCCATCACCTTGTCTATCCTCACCTGCTCACTCACTGTGAGGCTTGCTGGATCTTATCCGCGGTGGGGAAGTTTATTCTTTACATATCTGTTTTACGTTCTTTGATTTGACTGTGTTATATCCATGACACATACGTTTCAAAAATACTTTATATTGGCTGAAGGGGGGCCACCCGATCCACAACACCGAACAATATGCATATCCAAACAAGAACGCTGAAATCTTTCACTCACTACGTAGACAGGCCAGAAAGTGTTAGCTCTTTAAGAGAGATTGAAATGTGTTGTTACAGAGTTATGTTACACATGGAAAGGTGAGCTGACTTTTGGTTTTGATGGTAATGCTGTACAAATAATACAACAATTGGGCCTTTTGCATCTTTATATGCTACTGCACTGTTAGGTGTGATGGTGCTTACAGCAATAGAGTAGACATGCTTATTTCATTAAATCATCACTGATATTTAACATGTTCAGAATATATAGTAATTACCCTTGAGTGTCACATAGTAAACGAGAGCAAAACACAATATTATCTTCTTAAAATATTCCTGTTGGGGTCAGGTACACAGTCTCCTTCATGCAAAGATGATTTATAGACATATATTTTTCACTTTCCCCTGCATTTGTGCGCTGACAACAAAGCGTTACTGTGATATTTTGTGCTGCAATCAGCGTGACTAATGACCTTCTGAGGAGTCCTTTCTCAATGAGCATACCCCATTACTCATATTCTAAAGCCATCTTAAAACCCCTTTTTGGCATTTCTATGGGACAGCTCTTGCGTAGCACCTTATCTATGAAATATCGTAGTGGTAATTACGCTACAGGCGCATGTGTCATAGCTGTGTAAAGGGATGCCTACCAATACACCATAACCCCATTGTTTATCCTCCTACATTATGCCTGTCCGGTTGCCAAGTTGTTGTCATGGCTAGACTAATATAATCTCTTTGCTTTGGCAGCTCGGAGCACTTTTTCCTCTCGCCTTTCACCCGAGCAGACTAGAGTAAACATTTACCCGCAATCCACCTGGGATCAATGAAGCTCACGGTACTATCAGATGGCGCTGTGAATCTTCTAATCACAGCCTAATATAGTGAGAGTGCATATTGGAAGCGTGCGCCTATAGTCTGGACTTAATTCCATGTGCCAATTTTAGCAGATGTGAGAATGGAGGTGGGCTGGTGAAATTTGGTGTATGTTAAAAGTTTAGGGATATTCCTTCAACTTCAGAAAGGACGTTGTAAAATGTCTACATGGATGACTGTTTTAATCATCATATACAGTTTTCGGCCGGTTTTCTTCACGAAAAGGAGGCATGGTTGCGCCGCAGGTAGAGCTGTTGTTTCACAGCAAGAAGGTCCTGGGTTTGATTCCCCCTCCAGGCCTTTCCGTGTACAGTTTGCATGTTCTCCCTGTGTCTGCAAAGATTTCCTCTTGGTGCTCCGGTTTCTTTCGGGTGCTCCAGTTTCCCCTACCACTAACATCATGCAAAATAGTTATGAATGTAATGAGTGAGTGAATGAATGGTGATGGTTGGGGGCTTTGGTGCAACAGTGTGGATGGGGTCTGGCTTCCGTGAATGGAACAGTATCTGAACTATCAATAATCGTAAAGCGATTTGGGTGACCTTGGTTTGTAAAATGCACTATAAAAATAAAGATGACTTACTTACTAAAAGAACAATTGCTTGTCATGTTAAAATCAATTGGTTAGCCTTAGTCTTCTATCTATGAGAACCAATTAGGGTTGGATTCAAATGTGATTCATGATATGTACATTCATTGTAAATCCATCTTTACCAACTGCATTTACAATTACCTCACTGTGAGGTCACAGTATGTCAGGTCAGGGAAGAACGTGTCTGGGACTGTTGAAAGCAATACAGGAGCACCACAGGGTTCCGTTCTGGCTCCCTTCCTCTTCACAAAACTCTACTACATGCCATGTAAAAAAATACTCGGACGATACCGTTTTTGTGGCATGTGTGAAGGGGGGGCTGTTGTGGCTGCCCTTTCAGACTGGAGAGAGAGAAATGGAATGATTCTCAATGTGTCCAAGACCAACGAGATGATCATCAACTTTGACTGGAGCCCTTCCCATCGACCGGTCACAGTAAATGGACAGGACATTGATGTGGTTCACTCCTATAAATATCTGGGAATCCACCTGGACAACAGACTGGACTGGTCAGCTCAGGCCAATGCCATCTACAAGAAAGGTCAGAGCAGACTTTTCTTTCTGAGTAGACTAAGGTTCTTTGATGTGAGCAGTCAAATGTTGCACATTTTTTACCAGTCTGGGGTAGCTAGTGTCGTGTTCTTTGGGGTTGCGTGTTGGGACGGCAGTCTGACCTCGAGAGACAGTAACCGGCTCGACAGGCTGATCAGGAAATGTGTCTCTGTGATGGGGAGAAGTGTGGACTCTGTCACTGCATGAAAAGTTAGATTTTCGTCACCCTAAACGGCAGGAAATCACGCTCTTTTTCGGGTATCTCAGGCAGTTTTCAGAAGGCGCAGTTAGGGTGCCCTGTCCTCCAAACTGCCGCATCCGTACCATGCTAATGTCCCTACTTTGCATATGAATGCAGCGAAACACTGCGGCCGGTCGAGCGCTAATGGCCCTAATTAGCATATGAATGCAGCGGCTGGCCAGGCTGCTATTCAGCATTGGCGGATACCACTACTTTCAAACTCGTGATTGGCTGAAAAATCACACGTGGCCAGCCCACGTGGGATTACTCCCCATTGGTAGCTTACTCCCCATTGGATGAAATCACTACTTTCAAATAAGTATAATCTCTTGTGATTGGCTGGCAGATCTGTCACTATTGTTCACCCTGCCTCATAATTAATGTAATAATATTTATATAAATATTTGTAATATTTATAGAAGAAATGAAAATTTTCCAGGAATATGTTCATACAAAGAAAGCTTTATTAAAACACACACACACAGCTTTATGCCCACACATAGGTAATTAAAAAATTACAACTCTGAACTGTCCAATAGCCTCCTCTGGGTTGTAATTTGGCAGCGTTCTAGATAGACGCTTAATGTGCGTGGCTCTGTACTTCCGCGCCGCCTCTAACCAGGACTGCAGCTTGACAGAGTTCAAAAAACTCCGGCTTGCGAAAAGACGGCAACTGCACAATCCACCCAGAGACACTGTCCACAACGCCTTCTTCTTCATTGGACATTAGGTCTACCGTGGCGGACTTCCAGAGTTCCACTTTGTCACTTTCTCGCACACTCAGTCTCGATTCCAGCAGCTGAAAGAATCAGTAAATATTATTAGCCAAATCTAATCCTTTTCCCATCTAAACATTGTGTCTAAAGCAGACCTGGAGATTCTTATCCATGCATTTGTCTCCAGTAGGTTAGACTACTGCAACAACAGCTGCAGTACATTCAAAATGCAGCAGCTCAAGTCCTGACCAGAACCAGGAAGTACGATGGTAAGGCAAGTTTATTTGTCTAGCACAATTCATACACAAGGCATCTCGAAGTGCTGAGCAAAATAAGAAAGCATTAAAATAAATAATCACAGTACATCAACAAAGATAAATATAAAATACCTCAGTTGTAGCACAGCTAAAGTGACAGCTCCTCTGACAATGTTTAAAACCAGGTTAAAAACAGTTTGGTTTAGCTGTGCTACAACTGAGGTAAACTGTTTTTAACCTGGTTTTAAACATTGTCAGCGAGGAGCTGTCTCTTAGCTGTGCTACAACTGAGGTATTTTATATTAACCCTAACCCATACTTTGTTGATGTACTGTGATTATTTATCTTAATGCTTTCTTTTGTTCAGCACTTTGAGTTTCCTTGTGTATGAATTGTGCTACACAAATAAACCTCCCTTGCCTTACTGTGCGATGCATTTTAGTCTTACCCTCTTCTCGCTTGACTCCGAGCTGAACTCTTCGCAACGTCCGCCCTCAATGAGTTTTCTGGCTTGGCATTTTGATGGCTCCTGCGAACCGTCTCATAATAAGTCTTACAGGCCGCTAGAAAACAATCAAAAGAGTGGTATGAATAAAAATCAAACGCAAGTCACAGTAACGTCAAACAAGGAAGAAGAAACAGTAAAACACTTACACACAATGTCGTCTTTATCAACATGTGGACTTGCAGATATTGTGTTTAGCAAATAGGAGGTCACCGTCTCATTACGAGGCGAGATTAGTCTGAAAACAAAGTGTACAGTTATGATTGGTATCTATACATATCCATTACCGATGTGTAGATAAACCAAATTCAATTTCCATGGATACATTAACAATACTTACATAACCTTTTTGAGAAAATGGATCCTTCAATGAAGAAAGTGTGATAATTCTAAGAGCATAGCTTTCTTTTTGTTTTTGGGAAGGCATTTGTCTAAGAAGAGAAAAACAGTCATGGTCAAGGGACTTCATGGTTAAATAAAAAGGCTAAATTAATAGTATCTACAAGTACATATTTTCACGGGGACCTAACCAAGAGATAATCTACAGGAGAAAATCTACCTAGGTCATTTATAAAAGAGATAAGTACTATTTATTACAATGGGGAATCAATAACAGTGCAGAGAGAAACTGAATTGTTACGTGATTATTGTGAAAGGTCTTTCAAGTGATTTTCATTTTATTTTGAGTAAATATCCTTCCACTTGTAAGAAGGAACTTTTGAGTAATAACTGAGGGATACAACATACCCATGTGTTTCACTCATGTCACTGACGAGAAGGTCGACAAGTTGTCTTCGAGAGCGGTGACTTAGTGATCTCACAGAATTATAATCTTTAAGGATCTCTCGGTCACCAGGGTTTTCCTGCAGTTCCACCATCTACAAACACGTGGAAAATGTAAAATGACAATCTACAATTGTACCAAAAATCTTAGGATACAAAATGCAGCAGTACCTGTTTAGCTGTGTCCTTCTCACACATGTCCTGATTGGATCTCCTTGTAACTGCCACAAAGGATTCTCCTTTAGGAGGAGACTATGGGTTCAGGTCAATTGAAAGTGTTGGTGTCCATTTCCATTTGAGAAAGATCTGTTAAAAAATAATGCAATACTTATAATACTTTGTCATTTCATGATTTTGAATGTGAAATAAATGTGAGTCTCCTGTGTCTCCTCCTGAAGCAAAACTCCTGAATTTAAAGCTCGGATACCCACATTTTTCCTCCATGCATTAATTAATGCATGTTATTTGTGCACAAAAGTAAAATGTCTTTATTCCCAAACCCTAGTTAACTCGTTATATTGAGAAATGTAGAGTTACCTTCAAGTGTGTTGTGACCGGGCAAAGTCACGGTCCTTTAATATATTACGTGTCATTCACACTACTGGACAGAATAAACCCGCCTTAACGAAGTGTATTTCCCCAGTTTAGCTTTAGCCAAAAGGTTACAGCAGATATAACAGCTTCAAGTTTTAGTTTCATTTTTGTCACTTTCTTTCTTGTACCGTTTTCCTGTATTATTTGAATGTCTTTTTCAGGTGGAGGTTAAGGTTGTTAAAGCACTACTCTTTTAATGTAAATAAAAGGATTCTCTGCAACTTTTACTGCTGTTTTATAGAGAGCCTATTAACATTTTCATTTGTTTGCTGGTTCAAGGGTTTGTCTGTGAAAGATAAAAACAAACTGCAAAACATTATCAAAATCTGCTCTAAAATTATTGGTGTTAAACAAAGAGACCTACAGTCTCTTTGGGAGGAGCAGGCACTAAAGAAAGCTAAATGTATCTTGGGTCAGCCTCTCCATGCTCTGTCCTCTGAGTTTTCGCTCATGCCTTCTGGACGTCGTTTTTATGTACCCTCTCGGAAAACAAATCGTTTCGCCAACTCTTTTGTCCCCTCTGTCACTAAACTGTTGAATTCTGAAGGGAGTGTGTTTATTAAGTGACACCGACCTTTGTGAAATGTGTCGTTTTCTTTTAATTATTTGCTATTGTCTGTACTGTTGGAAGTGACACACAGTGAGTGTTGTGATGTGTTTGTACAACATCTGTCGGAGGTTGCAGCAAATCAATTGCCCTTAAGGGATCAATAAAGTTTTCTGAATCTGAATCTGAGTACTGAGTAAGTTATCACCTACAAGTGTCACTGCTTGTTGTGTCTTTTTCATAATTGTACATAGGAGTAAAACACTGTACTGACAGACAAGACAAATGGAGGGGGATGTACTTACCTTTCTCCTTTTCCCCATCTCCTCTGCTGTACATATGTGCATTACAATACCAAACACAATCATATGTCATTTGTTTTTGTTATTTCTTTATGAACTTACACAGGAATCAAGGTGCCGGACAATCTTGGAAAGCTTAGCGCCAGCAGACCCCCTTTTGGCCTTAAAGTGGTTCTCACCCCCGCTCCTCGGAGCTTACGTTACTCACATTTCCTGTTCAAATCTTCCTCTAAATGGGCGTAGCCTGGAGGACTAAAGGGGGCGTGAACGAGACTGGGCCGTTTACATTGCTCTGGGCGGGGGGCTGCTGACGTCAGGTCCAACTTGCAGACGTCAGGTCCAACTTCTGTGCCAGTGTTGGCGCCAGATTCAAAATTCAAATGTAGTAATACAGGTCGCCAGCAGATGGCGCCTCACAGACGGTTTTAGGCAGAAAGTATAACTTTCAACTAATTTGCACCAAAGTGACAAGATTATGACCAGGATATGTAGACAACACTATTGGACACTCATTTATACCGTTTATCAGCAAAAAAAAGTGGATTTGAGGGTGAGTTGTCCTTTAAAGAGCTTGATGAACTGTGTCGTTAGGCAATCCAATGCTTCAACAAAATCATTGCCCAGTTTGGAGCTGGTGATCTGGTTAAATTCTGCCAGGACCTGCAAAAAAAAAAACATAAAACACTTCAAGTTAAATGCATAGATGTAAAAAATGTGTACACACCTGTCTCTCTGTATAAAGTGCTGGCCAGCGCGCTTTGACATTTTCCACAGGTAGGGCAGAATTGACTATTTCTTGTTGTCGGACTGCAACACGCTGTAAGCAAAAAAAATTATCAATATATATAAAACAATATCACGATTTTTGCTCAAATGTGTTTAAAGGAGGTCTAGATTCACTCAATAACATTATTAAGCAATGGACTTAATAAACAAAACAAAAAAAATGAACAGAAAGACAAAAGTGACAAATGAGATGAAAAAGTACAATAATAAAAGTGAAAGTCTTAGTGCTCAAACAAAGACAGGAACAGTGCAAAACAAATTATATATGTTAGATATTCCACAGAACTCTAGTCCACAGTCTCCTGTACATCAGGCTCTGCCATGAGCCCAAACTGCTTTTCCTTCGGTTCTTTCGAAGCAGTCTGCTCTGTGCGCCTCGTCCCTGCTCCTGCAGCAGTTCCATGCTTCACAGAAAGTTATCACACACGGAGCAATCACAGCGGGGATTCCTTGCGGCGGCGGCCCTCGTAGTTAGGGCCGGGAATATGGCTCTGAACACGGCTACAGTTACTGTTACTACTAACAGCTAGCTACATTCACCGCTGTCCTCAGTAAACTCCCGGAGGCCGGACAGAGCTCTCTCAGGCCTCCGGGAGAGCGGTTCTGAACACGGCCACAGTCACTGCATTCACCGCTGAGCTGGTCGAACACACGAGTTTTATAGGATAATATAGTCGAATGTATACTCGTTCTTAACACACTTCTTTAGCTTTATACCTTTATAACAATGAACAACGTGTCTTAACACTTACCGTACATTCAGAAGAGTCCTCTCTTCACGTTCCACGAGACTCCACCGTCGACTTCAGGCAAAGTATTTCGTAGCGTTTTGCGCATGCGCGAAACGCGCATTCAGTTTGTGAAGTCCCGAAGTTGGTTGTGTAAAGAGAGTGATGATAACACCAACAACCGTTTGTGTATATATTAGGGCTGCCAAAATTATTGTTTTGACTCACGTTAATTACATTTTTTATTAACGCGTTATTTTTTTTAACGCATTAACGCATGTCCGAATGACCCACCCATTTATCCATAAGAATATCACTCAGAATGCTGCGTGTGAGATGGCCTCCTCCGTGGCCGCTCTGGTTGTTGTTAGCGGCTGTGAGTGAGTGCAAGCTTTGCATGGGCTGCAAGCATGGATCTAGCTATTATAATAACAGCAGCAAGCGATTGCTCCGTTCACATACTCAGCGCTCTGCGCACTGTATTTTCCCTGGTTCTTGTCTGTCAGGCACAATCTGCGCACTGTATTCTCCCTGGTTCTTGACTGTCAGGCGCGGGTGTTGCTCGTGTGTGTCTTTGGGAACTAATTATTTTAAAATAGTCTCTTTCAATTGCAAGTTTTGTAATCTGTTTGTTTGATCAATGGATTAAAATAAATGCAATTTAATTAAATGGCACCTTGGCCTGTCTTATACCTGTTTGCCTGCAGGACAGTTCCCTAAACTAACATATCATACTAAAATAGGGTGGGGTTGTTGCAACAATTAATCTACTTAGAAGTTATCCTAAATTACAGCCAGCTAAAGCTCGGTACCACGACAAACGAAAAAGTAACGCAATAGTTACTTTTACTGCTAACTAGTTACTTTTATAGTGGAGTAACTCAGTTAGTAAGTCAATTACTTTTTGGAAGAAGTAACAAGTAACTATAACTAATTACTTTTTCAAAGTAACTTACCCAACACTGGTAATTATATTTGATAATCTCATTTAACTTCAATTGGAGTGGATTTGAAATAGAATGTTAAACATGCGATTAATCGTGAGTTAACTCACCATTACTATGCGATTAATCAACTAAAAAAAATTAATCGTTTGACAGCCCTAGTATATATATATATAATTTGAACCGAGAATAGAACACATCTTTTCAGTTGGTTCATACTTTTTCATACATAATTCAGTTTTGATGCCTTCAGTGTGAATCGACAAGGTTCATAGTCATGAATAAAAATTAAAAATCCAAACTTTTGGTCTGTACTGTACATACATGAGATGAGCACTTACACTTTCAACATGTCTTTTGTCCTATTGGATTTATTTAATTGATTTTGACATGACAAGCTATAATCAATCATGATCAAATATGTATCTGGTGTGTGTGTGTGTGTGTGTGTTGTGCAGCATGGCGCAAAGTTGTGCTCCCCCTCAACCCTGATTAGCATTTGTATAGCTCACAGCATTTCTATTTACATGTTAAAGCCTCCTGTGGAGGAGGGAGGAGGGGACAACAAACTACCGTCAACAGCCGAATCCCAGAAGTTTCACAGTAATATACAGGGCCGAAAAGAGACGAAAATCACACTTTTCATGCAGTGTGTGGGAGCTGTGCTGGAGAGAAGGATGAGGGCTCTAATGCAGAGCGTCTTGGGTAACTCCCAAGCCACGGCGATCCAAGATGGCGCTGTATTCAAATTAATGGTTGTGCTCAGTGGCGCTTTGTGCCGGCACGGTCGCTGACATATTAGCGGATCTCGCCTGTATTTGGGCGTCGTCTGGTCCTCCCGGTTCTGCGCAGTGGATGATCTCCCTTGATGCGTTGCCCCAAACACGCATGTGAGGGTCTCACACCGGGTCTCACGCACGTGCACAGAGGGGCTTGGCCGCGTTTGACCAATCAGAGCAGTTCATCAGCGCGGGAGTTAGAGCGAGAGCCAGACGAGCAGAGTTTGTGGCAGAGACGCTCTGGTTATTTCCGTTGACCCGTCTGGCAGTGTGATCCTGAAAATGCCAGCAGTAAAGTGTGGATTTAAAGAAAACCGAAGGATTTAAGAAGAAAAAAAGTTCAGGATGACAAGGGACACTAAAATCCCCACAAAATCCGACCTTTATGAAAGCTGTAGGTTCTCTGTCAGGTGAGGTCGAGCTGTTTTAATTTACATTGAGTTCTATGGGGAAAATTTCTGGGTGGCCCACATGAATTTCGTCTTGTTTAGTCTGCAGTACCGCGAGAATCCCCCAAG